TATATATATATATATATTTGTTTGTGCTTGTTTTGGGAGGTGGGGTCCCTAAACCCTACACCCGAAAACGTTTGGGGGTCGAGAAAATTCGAGGCGTATTTTTGGAGAGTTCCTATACGGCTGCATTGCTAGAGTTTAGTGTTTAGGTTCTAGCTTCTAGCTTGCTTTAGACCCAATAGTAGCAAGATTGGCAGCAGCTGCAGCAGGAATGCAAAAAACAAACACTGGTGAAGGGATGTCCCTGAAACTCCCAAACGCTACCCTGAACCCTCGACCGGTGTCCGCAAGCCACGACGCCTAGGTTGATCTTCAGCGAAGAACTCTTAAACAGATGCTTGGCTTTGGCGGTTTTGGGGCTTTTACCCTACGCCACGCCCTAGACCCGTGTTGGGATTAGGACCTGCGCAAAATACCCATAGAAGCGCAAGTTCAGTGCGGCAAGAGTCCCCGAAACCCACAGTGTAGAAGAGAACCTCGGGGGTGAGTAATTAGGTCGCCTTGAGGAAGAGTTAGGGTTTAGGGTTTAGGACCTTACGTAGCATGGCAAGATGATGAACGGTTTCTTCTGGTGTAGGCTTTCGAAATAAACACGGAAGCCTCAGCCCTTTTGGGGTTCGGGCTTAGTGACAGTGAGTTTGGGGCCTTAGGGTTTAGGTCGGAAATCCCCCAAACCCCTAAAAACTTGCAAGAATCGTGGTGCTCAGGGTGTGGGTTTTGCCACCACCACCACCATCACTATCACCATCGCCATCACCATCATCATCATCATCATCATCATCATGCCCGGAGGGTAGGGTTCCTCCTAGGGCGTATGGCTGCAAGGGTTCCTCAAAGGTTTCTTATAAAGGGTGTAGGGCTTAGGGCAAAAGGATAGGGTTTAGGGTTTACGGTTTACTGAGTTTGTTGTTTAGGATTGAGGGTTTATGTGGGGGGTTGGTGAGTGTATATCCCTAAACCCTAAACCTTAAACACCTAAACCCTAAACCGTCAACTGGCGAGCGTGGATTTGGGGCGTGTTTTTTTTTTGTCTGGGGACACAGGTCATCTAAAGTCGAGTGCTGAAGGGATTGCCCAGTGCAGGATGCGGGGACCTGCTCTGCAAGTTGACCGGTCGGTAGGTGGTTTGGCAGAGTGTTGAGTTGCTCGTGTTTAGCTTTGGGTTCAGGTGTTGGGGATTGTGCTGTGCCGCCGCAACCCCCAAACCTTGGTTCCCCTCATGGTGCCCATGCCCTAAAACCTCTACCTATCCCGAACCTTCACAACACCCACAACCCATCTCCCGAACCATCAACAGCTCAGGTGGCTGTGTGGCCACCGTGCAGGCTTTCGGGTTGCGGGTTCATTCGATCTGCAAGAGAACGAGATGCAGGGGTAGGGGTTTAGGAGGGACATGTTTGAGTTGAAAGGCCACAACTTCAAAAGGAGAGGAGAAGAGGATAGCGCAAGCCGCAGAAGGAAGGTAAGCCTAGACCCCAAACCGGAACCCTTAATCGGCAGAGCATCACTCCAATCGGCACTCGCTGCTTTCGCCAGGCCCGGCTCTTCAATTAGCTCGCAGCTGTAATGTAGGGCACAGGTTCTGGCCGTCCCTGAGTTTTCACCGAAGCGTTTTGACCGAGTTTTCTTCTCGACATCGACACCCTAAACCCTCAACCCTAAACTGGTAGGGGGGGGGGGCTCGGCCGCTGGGGCGCTGGGTACGGGCTCGGGGCGGCCGGGGGTGGGCGGCTGTTGGACAGAATTGGGCTGAAGGGCTGGGCTTGGTTCGCTGCTGGGTTGGGTGAAGAAGCTGCTCAGAAAAAAATACAAGCTCTGCTGATGTTCGTCTCGAGATTCAGGGCTTAGGGTCGGGGGTTCAGGGTTTAATGAAGGGGCCTAAATAATTACCTATACTATTTTGGGGGCTCCTTAGTACACTTATACTATAAAGGAGCCCAAACCCCTAGTCTAATTACTAAGGTCCCGAAACCCTAAACCCTCATAGTAGCCCTTATAGAACCCTTAAAGCAACCCCCAAAACCCCATTCAAAATTAAGGCCCCTAAACCCTAAACCCTAAACCCCAAACCCCAAACCCTAAACCCCAAACCCTAAACCCGAGGGTTTAGGCCAACCTGATCCCCAAACCTCTGGAACCCCTGTCCTGACAGGCCTTGTCTGGCACCGGCTCCCTGCAGATGATTTCCCAGTTCATGAAGTTTATGGGAGTCACCAAGGCAGTGTGCTTTTTGTTTCGGGCTTAGAGTTAGTTCATGGGAGTCACCAAGGCAGTGTGCTTTTCGTTTCGGGCTTAGAGTTGGCAGTTACGAATGCGGCTGTCTTGGGAGCAATGGATCGTTCGGGGTCTAGGGTTCAGCGCTTCCTCACATTGTATGAGACTTTTCAGACAATGCCCAGGGCTTCAAGTTCACCCAATGCTCACGGTGGCAGCTTAAAAAACTAAACTCGGAACCCTAAACCCTAAAAAAACTAAACTTGAAACAATGGTGCAGGGTTCCCGAAGAGTGCATTGGACCCGACCATGATCGTCAACACCGCTTTCTTAAAGATTTCTGCAAGCAGACTGACTGGCTACTTGGAGGTTCATGGGTAGTTATAAGTAGGGTTATAAGTCCCCTAATATGGGTTATAATTATAGTTAGCTTACTTATAACTCCACTTATAACTACCCAATAACCTCCAAGTAGATTAGACACCATTCAACTGTTCACGGCTTTGTGGGTTTACAGGCTACTCCCCGCAACAAAGAGGTCACTGCTTGTGGTTTTCGTCATGATTCACCGCCCCACTGCTCGTGGTCTTTGTAATGGTTCTCCACCCCACTGCTTCTCTATGATTGCGTAGGATCTGGGGTGACAAAAGCACCCAATTTGCAGTTTGATATCAGCGGAACCCTATACCTTACACAAACCTTCACGAGGGCATCCCTAAACCCTAAACCCCTACAGACCCATAGGGGAGTTTCCGCAAATGGGGGACCCTAATACAGTACCCTAAATAGTAGGATCCTTACTTATTAGAAGGAGCTCCCCATATGGACACCTGTCCTGACAGAATCGGCCTGAACCCCAAAACCTAAACCCTAAATCATGAACCCTAAGCCCGCACCCCACACATAAAACACCCCGGACCTGACGCTGAGAAGACAGTTGCCGAAAATCAACCATCGTCCCTAAACCCTAGACCCTAAACCTAACTTAGGATTAGGGTTAAACCCTAAACCCTAAACCTAACTTAGGTTTAGGGTTTAGGGTTTTAGGGAATAATATTCCCTAAACCCTAGACCTTAAACCTAACTTAGGATTAGGGTTAAACCCTAGACCCTAAACCTAACTTAGGATTAGGGTTAAACCCTAACCCTAAACCTAACTTAGGATTGGGGTTAAACCCTAAACCCTAAACCTAACTTAGGATTAGGGTTAAACCCTAAACCCGAAACCTAACTTAGGTTTAGGGTTTAGGGTTTTAGGGAATAATATTCCCTAAACCCTAGACCTAACTTAGGTTTAGGGTTTAGGGAATATGCATTTGCAGAGATTCTGAAACAGATCAGACATATCTACAAGCTAACGACGAAAGCTCAAAATGAAACAGTACATGAGCTTTAACATGGGAGTGAACAGATTGATCTATGAGCAGAGAACGACTCCAAGCCGTTACCCCTGAACCCAAAACCCCAGACCCTAAAGCCCCGAGCACTAAAGCCCTAAACCCTAGAGCCTAAAGCCCAAAGCCCTAAACCCCTAAACCCTAAAGCCTAAAGCCCCAAGCCCTAAAGCCCTACATGCTAAAGCCTAAAGCCACAAGCCCTAAAGCCCTAAACCCTACACCCTAAACCCTAAACCCTAAAGCGCTAAAAGCCCTAAAGCCAAAGCCCTAAAGCCCTAAGCCCTAAACCCAAAGCCCTAAAGCCCTAAGCCCTTAACCCAAAGCCCTGAAAGCCGTTGCAGCGACGTTGGTCTACAGGCCGCAGCAGCCCTATAGATCCCGTTGAAGGAACCCAAAGCCCTATGAGCGTAGCCGCGATGTTGGTTGCAGGTCTGGGGTCCTGATCCCACTTGGGGCAACCATCCGAAGATCTTTGGACGTGCCGGACTGGAGTATGATGCCTGGCTAAGGGTTTAGGGTTTGGGGGTTTAGGGCTTTGGGCTTAAGGGTTTAGGGTTTCGGG